AGAGTTGGAGTTCCTTGTAGACTCGCCTCATTTGGTGGATCAGTCTTCTCCGGCCATGGAGGGCAGTACAGTCTGATCGATGTTGCCGGAGCAACAGACTAGTTGAACTGCTCCTCGAAAACCTGCCCATCGCCCAAGACGTCAATGGATGTTAGTGATTGGCATCCCGTCATCCTCACAGATTGTTTCGCTCACACCAGACTTCTTGCTGCTAGTGGCTCGGATGAGTTGGGAGAGCTTCCGGTAGTTACCAGATGCAGCTGCTGCTTCCAGCTCATTAGCACGCTTCGACCACCAGGCTTCTCGGTCCTTACGCAAGCTTTGCCCAATTTCCTTACGTAACATCCTTCGTTTGTGGTCAAACTCACGGTCACCCGGAGTAGACCGACGGGCTCCACTGAGTTGTAAGGAGCCTGAAGAAACCCAGTGCTTATAAGCGGGACGTTTCGCGAACCCACAACTGACTGTACCTGCCATTTTCATGGCGTCATGCAATTGCAACCAATGCTCATCTATACTTTTCGGTGGAGTGGTAGCTAGCCTAGAACTTAGCTCGGTTTGATACTTACTAGCAACAGAAGTTGCAACCAGCTTGCTAACATCAATCCGTTGATGGCGGTCACTTCGTTGTCCACTGAAAAGTAAGGCAAGATTGGCGCAGACCAAGGCATGGTCAGAGTCCAGATAAGTACTCCAAAAGGAGCGGCAGTCTTGTACACAACCACGCCAGTTGTAGCTGATCGCGATGTGATCAATCTGAGTCCAGGCTTGGGATGCAGAGGGAGGACGCCAGGTGGTACATCGGCGATGACTGTGCCGAAAGTTAGTGCTAGCCAGAAACAGGTTGTGGTCTGTGCAAAGTTGCAGTAGGCGGTCCCCGTTATCTGACCTGCGACCAACGAGTCCCCATCGGCCACCTAAACGACTCTCTTCTGTGCCTAGACGCCCGACCTGAGCATTCAAGTCTCCGGCTAGTACTACAATATCTGTCGAACGCACTTTCTGGAGAAGAACAGATAATTGGTGGTAGAATTCATCCTTGATTGCATCCGGGCTGCAATCTGTCGGCGCGTAGGCGTAGATGACGAAAAGACATCGTTTCTCACGCCGATTTCTTCTCACGTTGATGGAATTTTCTAATCTAACGGCACATAACCGACTATTAATGGGGATCCAATCGATTAGTGCCGCCTCAGCTCTAGCGCTTAGTGCGACACTAACGCCAGCAAGACCAGACGAAGATGCCACAGGGTGTCCGGATAAACGCACGTAAAACAAGCCTTTTGAAGTGATAGATGGAGAGCGAATTTGTAGTACTTCACCAGAGTCTTGAATACGGGTCTCGGATAGACAGCAGACATCGATATGAAGACTTTCCAAAGACAAAGCCAGCCTCATCTGTTGTCCAACCTGCATAAGTGTGCGAACGTTGAAGGCAGCCAGTTTGAATGGTGCACGTGGTTTCAGAAAATCTGCTTCAGTTCTCGTATTCGGTGGTAACATACAATTTTCAACCGGACAGTGACTCGAGGACGTTTAGATACAGTCAAATTTCCACCAAAGACGAGCCGCTGTATAAGTATAAAAAGGGTAAATAACGATCATTTGATGGTAAAGTAGTTTCCACAATTATAGGCAGTTCATCATATTTGTGTGTGTGCTGTGATACTGCCCGGGTGCCCGAATCGAAGCAGGTGGTTATCTTAGGGGGCCACTCCCCGAGCCTTCAACCTGAAGGTCTGATCCACAAGGTAGTGGAGCATCGTAAGATGCAGTACCATGGTAGCCGGTGACCAACGATTGGTTCATACGACACTTTTTCCCGCAAGATACTGGACCCCATGTGCACCATTGGTTTGTGATCCGGTTAAAGCGCCGGACATTCGCTTTTCGTCCTCTCATTTTCGTAAACAACACCCCGCGCCACGAGAAGGCAGTGAGTTGGACTTCCCTGGCAGAGGGTGTATACGCGTGGCCGTGTGAGAGTAATTCGAGAGGGAGAGCGGACTCTCCCCATTCTCGGCCGTACCAGGGCATTTGGGGGCTGCTACTTATATTGACATAAGTAGCATATAACGCGAGTCAGGAATGTAATATATGGCAGCAGAAGATTGGGAAGGTCAAGAAAGGAAGAACGGGAATAGAAATGTAAGAACAATGAAGTCCGAGACCATTATTGGACATTTTGCAAATTAGGTATTATAGTATGGTTTTTCTATTTTACCAAGAAACTCTGTAACGTTGTGCTAAAAATAAAATTCGTTTATCCTCACCTGTATTCTTCTTCACTATTGTGTTGCTGCAAGTACTAAGCCCACACAAAGGAGGATTGTTTGGGTTCAGCAACCCCATACCTTAGAAAACAACACTGCTAAAAAACACTAACCAGATAACGAAAGGTTGCGATCGATCATAGCGAAGTGCTCAGGAAGGGATGTGACTATAGTGATGGGCTAGACTCACGAAAGGAAGAACAAGATAGCAATTAAAACAGTAGAACAAGAACAGAGAAAGACAAGACAATAAGAAACCGAAGATAAGGAAGCACTGGGCAACTGGAGAAGCACCATCACAAAAGCTTAAAAAGCCTTCCTTCGACATAATGACAAACTCAACGAATTCAAGATAACTCTCAACAACAGGTTCCAAGACTTACAGGATCCACTGGAAGAAACTTCTATAGAGAACAACTGGGAAGGAATCAAAGAAACAATAGTTCCGTGTCGTAAGGTGCTGGGCGGCAACAAGCATCACCATAATGAATGGATCTCCATCGAGACCCTCGCCAAGATTCAAGAGAACAAAGAGTCAGCGAACAAGCAAGCGATGAACAGCATTAAAGCTGATAAGCAGAAATACATGGGAAAGCTAGCAGACAGCGGAAAAAGCTGCAACAGAGGTAAATGTAATACAACTAAATGACACAACAAAGAATTAGACAGGGAGATATTGTAAACCAGAGAGATCAGTCAAGGACAAAAAAGACAAGCCAATCACTGAAGCTCAAGAACAGAGGGACAGATGGGTAAACACTGGGAAACTCTTGAATAAGTCGACCCCAATGAACAGGACAGCCGACAGATTCATTCCGAGTAAGTACTAGAGTGAGACAAGGCTGTGTACTTCCTCCATTCCTCTTTCTTCTGGTGGTTGAAAAGATTATGTAGGCCTCCACATCTCAGTGGAAGCACGGAATACAATGGACAGCTCGCATGCAACTAGATGATTGAGACTTCGCAGATGACCTGGCTCTTCTATCTAATACACACGAGCAAATGCAGATGAAGACAACCATTGTAGCAGCTGCATCTGCAGCATTAGGCCTCAACATACACAAAAGAAGAAGCAAGATCCTAAAATACAACACGGAGTACAACCACTCAATCACATTTGATGGAGAAGCTCTGGAAGAGGTGGGAGCCTTCATGTATCTGGGTAGCTCCATCAACGGATATTGAGGATCTGGTGAAGACGTAAAGGCGAGGATTGGCGAAGCAAGGGCCACATTCCTTCAATTAAAGAACATATGGAACTCAATACAACTGTCAGCCAACACCAAAGCCAGAATCTTCAACACGAACGTCAAGACAGTTCTCATCTAGCCTTCTCCGTTTCAGTGCAGAAAACAATTCCAGCATAAAACAGTCTAATTCATTTATTTCAGACCTTCCCAGTTGATATGCAAACAAATCAGACAGCATCATGCCATAAAATAGAAAACAACAATTATACAAGATCAAGACAAAAGTGGTTGAGTGTGTGAGACTGTAACTAATAAATTGAGAATAACTTAAGAATAGTAAATCGTGTGATAATGGTCAACAGGTCAAATGTAAGAATACAAATGGTTACTTAATGATTACACAATAAGAATATATGTGATAATAGTCCATAAATAAATCCAAACAGTTACCATTCATTTATTTTTCGTTAACATATAACACCCTTTTTTTAAATCTGGAGCTTAAACCCTGATCTAAAAAATATAGGTAACTTTGAATCCTAACATCATTCTCCCCCGCGAAATAAAGTTGGATCTTCATATTCTCAAGTTACAAATAATGTGGCTTTATTTCAAGCATATTTCTCACATTAACTAGAGAATCCACTAAAAGTAACTACAGCATTCGGTACGAGATCATCCGAACTATGATTACGTGAGAGTTCATTTCGAACTTCTTTCACATTGACTAAGTTTTCGACCAGAAACAAATATATTATGAGAACAAACGACATTTGCTATGACATAATTAAGAATTGATTTTCCTGAAATATGTTCTTCAAATTTATTAAAAATCTCGTTAGAGAAGAATGTATCACTAGGAAAATCAGCATCCATCAAAATTCCAGAATCTTCAATTCGAATGTGAAGACGGTCGTACTGTCCGAAGCTGAAACGCGGAGAACTACCACAACCATCATCAAAACAGTACAGGTATTTGCAAACAATTGTCTACGCAAGATACTCCAGATCGGTTGACGGGATACTATCAGCAACAGCCTACTATGGGAGAGAACGAACCAGCTTCCAGCTGAAGAGGAAATTAGGAAAAGATGCCTCAAGAGGATAGGACAATACATAGTGGAAATCATCAAACTGCATCACAAGGCGGGCGATAACTTGGAACCCTGAAGGGAAACGGAAAAGAGGATGACCACGGAACACATCGTGTCGGCAATTGGGAGCAGATATGAAAAGGACTGCCCAGAACAGAGCTGGATGGAGAGTTCCGGTGGGCGGCCTATGTTTTTCCATAAGGGGTAACAGGCGTAAGTGGAAGAAGTGAGATTATGTACCAAAAACAATCTTCATTTTACGTCACTGATTTAATTTTAAAAGAATTTGGTTAATTTTAACAGCAATGGCATTTATCAAACTACTTGGGAAATTGTCAGTGATGGTACATGGTATTCTGAGTCAATTATTAACAAAGAAACCTGTTTAGCAGTAGCCGTACAGCAGTTTGTGAGAAAGGATACCCTGATGGTCTGTTGCTGATTTACTCCTCCTTGTACGTTTGTTTGGACTGACATTTAGTTACTACTGAAGTAATTTTCCTGTAAGTAAGCAGTAAAGTTAAGAAGACAGTACATAACATATAGGTTATGTTGGGTCCATAAATCCAAAAAACTGTAGTAACAATCACCGCACCCATGACACGAGCCAATGCATTCAGTGAACGGAATATGCCCAACGTTTGCCCCTAAAATTCAGATAAAATTGGAGGTTTTACATCGATACTGGCCCTGACTAAATATTACTTAAACAAACAAAATACTCTGTAGGTTGTTATCAGTGGCAGGAACGTAGTGTTAAAACCCATTATTTAGAACAGTTTTAACGGTGATAAGTAGAGAAAATTGCAAATGCATCTAAAATGTTGGATAGAACTATGTAAACTGATCTCAAAATCGCTACACCCTGTTGTTTAGATACCAAGTAAGAAATATCATGTAACGCATTTTAAACAGAAATTATATTGATTATGTTGCAACAGTATAGGATGCTTCTTAGACTGAAGACAGAAGCACCTTTATAGGAGTATTCTCCGACTACAGCAAACACTGATCATTGTGTTACAAGAAAGCTCTATTCTGCGATACATTATGTTCGTCACATTTCTAAAGCTAACAGATGATTAATGCAACTTATTAACAGAGGTCCTGTTTGCGAAAGCTAAAGATGTTCCCGGAAAATTGTGGTTACCAAATATGTATTGCGAGAAAACTCATCTATGTTATATCGTAAAATATTTGTAAGGAAAAGATACGTTGTACAGTGTAAATAAATAGTTCAGGTATGTCAGTCAGATGAATGGGACTTCAAGATGCTATATATATATATATATATATATATATATATATATATATATATATATATATATATATAATCTTGAGTGTTTGATCCGGTCCAGCCCGATAAACTTCTTTTTCTCTTAATTTTCTAACTCACTGAGTGAGTGAAGACTTCTGATACATACAAGAACCTTCTGTGTTAGTCTCGAGTACTGCGCGACATAACAGAAAGCTAAAACCTGTTTTTTGTGTGTGTTTAATAGGAGTTGGTTGCAAAGTTCCAATTATCTTGAAGACGGAATTGAAAATGTTAACAGCTTATTCGTTTTAATCAAGAATATCATTCAAGTATTTGAAGCACACTTCCGATTTCCGTGTTTTTAGGAAGTCTCCGTCATATAACAAGGAAGTGGTTAGGGTACATGCAATTTTTCACTCACACCTAAATATATTTCTAAACATACTTGTTGTTCTGCAGTAGTGTACAAAGAAACCAAACCGTTTACACTCGGAAAGAAGATGGAGGATGCAAATGCATATAAAGCTAGTCCGATATAGAAAACGAAAATATTTGTGGCGAAACTGAAAACGGCAGACGCCAAAATCAAACAGCAAGAACTCTGTTAAGAAAGAAAATAGAGAGAAACTGCCGTGTATAAATATTGTTAAAGAAATACTTTTTAGATGTAAGCATTCGACTGAAAAAGTAAAGTTACATCACTACATTGAAAAAAATGAATTTATATGCAGTTAAACGTGTGGACTATTCTATCGTGCTCCGCGCCTCCAAATGCCCTGATACAGCCAAGAGTAGGGACAATCAGTTTTCCCTCCAAAAATGCTTTTATATGACCAAGTGTTTGTGGCCATTGTCAAGAAATTCTTGTTCCCTGACCTTTCCTTGTACGGTTATTTAGAAGTAACAGGACGAACAGCGAATACCTGACGTTTGAACTGCGTTGTTGAATTTGGGATATCCATCCATATATGCACAAAAGACGTTCAATTCCGGCTCAATAACGATACGCCGTAAAATTGATGGTGTAGCAATGCTAAGTCCGATAGGTCCAAATATTCTCATGAGTTATTTTGAAAACACGGAGCTTAGACAAGGAATTAACGAAATGACGGACTACTACAGACATGCTGATGACACGTTGATTGTCTGCAACAGTAGACAGTATGCAATCCACCCGTTGGAATTCTTCATTAATGCTCATTTCAATATACAATTTACCATGGAATAGGAAAAGAATGACATATTCCACTTTCTTGATAACGACAGACGTGATATTTCAACAACGGAGGGCATATTTTAGGTTTATCAGACATGTTCCCCAAAGCCTACGAACAAGTGCAACTACTAAACATCTCTTGCATATAGGGTATCAGGTTGATATCTTGTAGTGTTTCTTGGGGATTAATCAGCAGCCAAGCTCCATTCTCATGAAGCCGTTGCTATCAGGCGTCCGAAATCTGATTTATGTGTTCGAAAACAGATTGCTGTTAATGCTTCTTTGCTTCGGTGTTAAATATCCCTTCACTACATCGTCAAAATTTGTTCAACTCGTTCTTCCAATCAATTACATCACCAAGCCTTTTTATTCAGACTGTCATTTAGGTTAATATTCTTATTTCATTAACTGAGCATTAATGATTTTGTTCTCACTTATCATCAGTGTTTACTTTCCCAACATACTTAGATCAGACTCGTCTTCAAAATTGCCCAAGTGTGTGTGGAAAAAGAAAAATAAGGACATGAAGATTAGAATTTGGGAGAACACAAAGAGTGGATGCACCTGCGCCATTGCAAACGATTTTGAGCCATGTCATTCAGGGTCTCTAACCATCGGTTGCTATCATCTCGCGGTCCCCAACCAGGTAGTCTACACCTACCAACATGACTCAGTACACTCGTCATTGACTTCATGGACTTGTGCCATGTTTTGATCTGGCCGTCCCTAGATTTCTTCTAACCTACTCTTAAACCACTGAGCATCGCACGTCGAGGCAGTCGGTAGTTGGGCATACGTAACGTGTCCCAGCCATCTCAACTGATGAAGTTTCACTACGTCATCAATTGATTTGCCATCCTTACCTAGTACCCGTTTCCGAATGGCAAGTTAATGTAAGTCCTCCGTCCCTTTACGAAGTTGAAAAAGCCATAGGAAATCTGAAACGAGAGAGAGCAGCAGGCCCTGACAGGTTTACTCCTGAGATTTTTAAGGATGGTGGTCCAGTATTAGCAGTGAGATTAACTGAGGTCTTAGGTAGGATTCGGGAACTGGACATAATCCCATCTGACTGGTCTCAATCACTGATTGTGCCAGTCTATAAGAAAGGACAAAAGTCCTCTTGTGACAATCACAGAGGAATCAGTTTGAAAAACATAGTGTCGAAAACATTAGCTTCAACAATACTTCGACGCCTAACTAAAGCTCCTGAAGAGCAGACTAGAGAAAACCAGGCTGGTTTTCGACCTGGACGTGGTTGTATAGACCACATATTCACACTACGTCAGGTTCTAGAACACAGATACACTTCCAGACGCCCCACAATCGTAGTATTTCTCGACCTTAAGGCGGCATTCGACTCTGTTGATCGTAAGGTTCTATGGCAGTGGTTGTCACTGAAAGGAGTACCAAAGAAGTACATTAACCTTGTAAAGGCTCTCTACTCGAACACAACTGGTCGAGTGAGAGCTTATGGCGAACTGTCATCAGAATTGATCACCTCAAGTGATGTTCGTCAGGGCTGTCCACTCTCCCCATTCTTGTTCAACTTTGTCATTGACGTACTTTTAGAGATAACACTCTCCTCATCTAAATTTACAGGGGTTGAACTTCTACCAGGAGATTCACTTGTTGACTTGGAATATGCTGATGACATAGTTCTATTTGGTGAAGACGCTGACAAAATGCAGAGTCTTCTGACCACTCTAAGCAACAATGCAAGCATGTTCGGCATGAGATTCTCTCCCTCGAAATGCAAAATGTTGCTTCAGGATTCGGTTGCATCGACACCCGAACTAGTGATAGGGAGTGAAGTAGTTGAGTGTGTCGACCGCTTAACTTATCTGGAAAGTCTCATCAGCCCTTGTGGTTTGGTGTGTGACGAAATCTCAGCACGGATACAGAAGGCTCGACTAGCTTTTACCAACTTCCGTCATTTATGGTGTAGGCAAAATATCCGTCTATCAACCAAAGGAAAGGCGTACTGCGCAGCAGTTCGTTCCGTTCTACTTTATAGCTGTGAAACATGGCCGGTAAGAGTAGAGGATATTCGTATGTTACTAGTATTCGATCATAGGTGTCTTCGAAACATTGCTCGTATATCCTGGGTCCATCGAGTAAGTAACACAGTTGTTAGGAAACGGGTACTAGGTAAGGATGGCAAATCAATTGATGACGTAGTGAAACTTCATCAGTTGAGATGGCTGGGACACGTGTTACGTATGCCCAACCACCGACTGCCTCGACGTGCTATGTTCAGTGGTATAGGAGTAGGTTGGAAGAAAGCTAGGGGCGGCCAAACCAAAACATGGCACAAGTCCATGAAGTCAATGACAAGTGTACTGAGTCATGTTGGTAGGTGTAGACTACCTGGTTGGGGACCGCGAGATGATAGCAACCGATGGTTAGAGACCCTGAATGACATGGCTCAAAATCGTTTGCAATGGCGCAGGTGCATCCACTCTCTGTGTTCTCCCAAACTCTAATCTTCTGAATTCTTCATGTCCCTTTTTTCCTCTTTTCCAAATTTCTTTCACTGGATTATACTCTTTAAATAACATCTCCAAACCCTAATCTTCCCGATTACTGCTTATACTCTTATTACCTCTATCACTACGGGATTTGAATCGACCACTGCATCTCTGTGCTAATGTGGTGTGGCAACTCGAACTGATGTACGTACGTACGAAGTTCTACGTTGTTACTGACTGACTGAGTACCCGTTTCCTAACAACTGTATTACTTACTCGATGGACCCAGGATATACGAGCAATGTTTCGAAGACACCTATGATCGAATACTAGTAACATACGAATATCCTCTACTCTTACCGGCCATGTTTCACAGCCATAAAGTAGAACGGAACGAACTGCTGCGCAGTACGCCTTTCCTTTGGTTGATAGACGGATATTTTGCCTACACCATAAATGACGGAAGTTGGTAAAAGCTAGTCGAGCCTTCTGTATCCGTGCTGAGATTTCGTTAATTATGTGGTATCACGGTGTCAATAAGAGAATCACACCATCTGAGTACTTCAAATAGATAAATGAGCTTTCAGAAAGATCAATCCCTAAAAAGTTAGATCAAAATCACTGATAGGAAATATACGGTGGAATTAAATCATGCTAAGAAAAGTGTGCAGCCCTGCAAACACTATGGATTCAGTCGATTCCGGTTAGCTAGGCTATCTACTTGAGTAATGAGCGTCCAGAAAGCAAACGTACCATTTTAGGACACACTTCAATCGAATGTTTGACCACAAACGAGGGCTGTTACGTAATGAAATTGGGCAAAGCTTGCGTAAGGACCGAGAAGCCTGGTGGTCGAAGCGTGCTAATGAGCTGGAAGCAGCATCTGCATCTGGTAACTACCGGAAGCTCTTCCAACTCATCCGAGTCACTGGCAGCAAGAAGTCTGGTGTGAGCGAAACAATCTGTGAGGATGACGGGATGCCAATCACTAACATCCATTGACGTCTTGGGCGATGGGCAGGTTTTCGAGGAGCAGTTCAACTAGTCTGTTGCTCCGGCAACATCGATCAGACTGTACTGCCCTCCATGGCCGGAGAAGACTGATCCACCAAATGAGGCGAGTCTACAAGGAACTCCAACTCTTGAAGCGCTACAAATCATCAGACGCAGATGACGTACCTCTAGCACTTTTTAAAGATGGTGGTGACTTCCTGGTTAACGAACTGACATCGTTGTTTACAAACGTTTGGTAATTAGTCAGTGTCCCAACATCACGGAATGAATCGACAGTTGTCTCTATCCTTAAAAAGGGTTCACGTCGTTTCTGTAACAACTATCAAGGGATAAGTCTACTTGCGATTCCGTCCAAACTATTGGCTTCTGTCATACTTCGTAAATTGTTCAAAACCCGAGAAAGATTGACTCGCGAGGAGCAGGCTGGTTTTCGTTCTGGTCGACGATGTATTGATCATATCTTCACACTCCGCCAAATGTTAGAACACCATCATACTTATTACATGTCTACAATCGTAGTGTTTCTTGACATTAGGGCCACCTTCGATTCGTTGGACAGGACTGTTCTCTGGGATTGTCCACTGGAGGAGGGTGTGCCTGAGAACTTTATTAACATCTTAAAGGCACTATATACAAACACCTCAGGTAGAGTGAGGGCAGTACGACTTCGCCTTCAGACCTTGAGTTGCTGCTTTTAGTCTTACCGTTCTCTAGTCGACCTGCCTGGCATGGTAGAACTTACAGGAACATATGTTCCAGCCAATATAGCTCGGTTGGGTCATCACGATAGGAAGCCCGACCACCGCGTCAAGGTAGCAGCTACGGTCGGGTGTCACACTGAGTTCAAATAGACATATTGAGTGGCGATTATTTTTAGAAGAGACAAATGGTCAAACGATAGTTAACCAAAGCAACTGACTGAGTTGTACACAAAACTTGAAATCAAAAGGTCAAATCTAATATGATGGTATATTATTCCGCCATTGTACTTCAAAAGCGTGATAACTTAAGCAATGAAAGGAACAAATTGGGACGGAAAGAATTCAGTAATGGTAAACCTATCAGGCGAAATTAATAACGCTGGTTCTGTATTCTTAAATGTTAAGTGATGTTCGTGGACGACGAAGAGTTCGCACTTTTCTGAAGTGTTTAAGCACGTGTTAAGGCGAAATAACTGCTGACGGAAATATTAGGGGTGCAATTGCTTAAATAAGACAGGTGAATGAATACACATCACTGCAGCTTGCTGCACTGCTTTAATGTTACTTGGATTAACTTTATTTTGTTTGGTTTGCTGTAATTTTAAATGTACTACGAATGGATATATAGTAAGTGCTATCATTTTTATAGGTTATCTGTGACTTTGATGTTATTACTAGAGTCTCGTAATGCCAATATTTCATTTAAGAGGCATATACCGGTCGATGATTTTTCGAAGCTTTTAATTTTTGCCAAAATCTGTGGGAATAGTTAATGTTATGTTCCAGGTGAGCGACGGGCGAAGTTATTGTTCAGTGAAACTGTCCAAGTCAGAAAAAATCAACATTTCACAGCTACAAAATTAATACAGGTTAAATGCATTTATTCCAATTACGAAAGTCATTAATGCAGTTGCTGAGAAATTCAGTTTTAAAATAATGCGAACAGAACTTACCCATGTGATGGCTTTGTCTTCTCCGCCAAGTTTGAAGCTACGTATAAAGCAGGCTAGTTTTAGATAAAAAAAGATAAATTACCTTTTCGTATACAATGCCTTGTCAAGATAAAAAATATCAAAACATTATAGGAGTCATGAGCTTTAACTAATAATCCATATATAATAAATGCTTAGTGTGATCCAAATGTATGATGCATGATTTTGTTTATCGTCTTAGCTGAAGTCATATTTATTTTAAATTATGACATAAAGCCAAAGCAAACAAGTTATATTGCTGTTTACTTACAGACACAACATACTAAAATTTTTAATGAATTTTGGAGATTTTGAAGTTAGGTCTTACTATTGCTGGATATCGTTGACATTCCGCTAGATCGATATGGATCAAAATCTGATTATTAGTAAAACTATTAAAAGTATGAATTGATCTTTAGGTTGAAATATGTTTTAAGCTCATTATCATCGAACAAACGGACAATGGCACGCTACCAGCTAGAATGTACAATGAGTTTGCACACCAGTGTACTAAAAAATTTGAAAGATTCACTACTCAAAAGGAAAAGCTCATCAACAGGATTTACAAAACTATTTTAAAAGACTGTTGATACTACTCCATTTGTCGAATGAAGTTTGGGGAAGTTACAACAATCCATGAACGTCCGGTAGCGGCCAAAGGACATTTTGTTATTGATAATTATAGCATGCGCAGACAACTACAACTATACCTTTGATTGGGAAAATGTGAAAGTCTAGCAGTGTGTAGGCTTGGAAATTAGATAATTCTAAAAAGTATGGGATTTGGAGGGAATAGTTACCACTACTTACTTAGGTATAGATTCGGTTAGTAAATCACATAAAAGAAGAAGGTAGCTGGAAGTAGGTCAGTTACCCCAGTAACAAGTATATAAGAAAGGATTTCTAGGCCATTATTAATGATTCTGACACTGAAGTTTGCACGACTTGCCTAGTTTCATAAGCGAACCTATTTTACTGTTCGTATTAGTAGCGTATAATTCTGATCACTAATTCAAAATATCTTAAATCATTAGCGAGGCAACTTTGTATAGAACACATGGATGATATACTAGTTATATGTGATAAAGATTTTTAGGTATCCCAGTTATTAGATAAACTCAATAGGGTTCAAAACGAGGACGAATTCACAGGTTTATTGAAGCCTTGGCTATTTGTAAATTTAACTCCCTCCCCTTATGTGTACAAAAACAATTTGTCGTAACCCTGAATTTACTCTGGTAATCCTTAAGTCATTCTATGGCCTAGGATAACGCAACAATTTCTTATTCCTTCTATACGATGTAAAATTGTTTCTCTCCCCTTTGTTACCTTTTCTACTTGAACTTTCATTTAATTGACCCTTAGTAATTTTCATATAAAATGCCCTGACAAGTATATGTGTGACCAGATTGTTCGAAATATATAGCGCAAATACATCACATTTTTCAGGTCAACTCCGTCTTCTCATTGTTCTATCGGAATTTATGTAAGGGACTAATTGCTTTAAATATCTTCCAAAACTACCAGTTAGGAAAATCAGCAGATCACAGCTCTGTTGATTTCCTAGATAGATTCATTCAAATCCCTTAAAGACATTAGAAATTGAAAATGCATGTTGATATGTGAGCTTTATCATGAAGTAAATAAACAGGAAATTGGAAATTTTATAAGTTCGCTAATTAGTAGTTCAGTCTGAATATTCTTTGCGACTTACCTTGAACTAGAATCATTATTATCCCAATAAAGCCGAACATTCTGCCTTGATCAGAGCTAGTAACGAAAATGAAATAAGATACAATAAGAGAACTCGTCAGAAAAATTATAGTGGTATGTACACATACTGCACTAGCAAATAAAAAATTTCAAAATGAAATTAATTTTATAAACAAGGACTTCACATTTAAGCAACAAATCCCAATACAACGGGTTAAAACACATTCAACTAATTAAAATGCACTAATAAATAGCTTATTACCAATAAAAAATACTTTGCAACCAATAATGATTTTGCTGCTCCAGTCTTATTATTTATTTATTTATTTCAACAAATAAATATTGGTACAAGAGGGCACCAAATATATGTGCGCCACACCATATTGTGTGTGTGTGTGTGTGGGCTGTGATACTGCCCGGGTGCCCAGACCGAAGCAGTCCTAGCAATAACATTTATCTCATTCTAACCATCAACTTCGCTTTTTTCCTACGTTTAATCATCTAGGTATGAAGCAAGAGTTAAACGGTATATTCATGTTCAGAAGCGTATCAACACATCAGGGCTCTCAATATGATGCTAAATACTGTTATATACATATAAACCTGTGAAAAACCTTTGGTAATTGGAGATTATTTAAAATATATGGAATAAACTCAACACAATAAATTAATAGATATAAGCAAATGGTAATTTTTCGATTCAGATGCAAATGATTAACTATTCACCTACAAACTGGTGACTTTTGTCATCCTAAATAAACAAAAGACACAACCACCATATACCAACAGTTATGTTTATGAGAATGAGAGGATTCCTATACGAAACTAACTGACCTTGAGAAATTAAAGCGGATTCTAGCCAAAAACAGTATTGTATATTCTATTCCGCAGTATACGCACAAGTAGCCGCACCAAAAGTATGCCAAATGACGCAAAGATTTTTCATCTACGTAAGACATTAGGTAAATACGGGTTAGAGTTTAATTTTACGAACTGACTATTGCATAAGGGCAATTACTAAACGGATAATCCCCAGAAAAAAAATACAGAGTTGAATAACAAACTAAACTCACATTTAGGACATTTCGTTGTGCCAGTTAGTGAAAACAACTTCACTGGATTTATCAAACGTACTGCTTGGTTGATTAATAGACCGATATTTCCGCCCTGAAAAAATAGAAATAAACACAGACATTTTTTACCCGTTCACATGGCCTTTTATAAACTTCAATTCTACTAAAGTCGGTCGAACTCTTTTGTTAACTTTAATATTAATATAGTTTACTATCACTACGAAAAAACACAAAGACACTAATTACGCCTGTTACCCCTCATGGAGAAGCATAGGCCGCCCACCGGAACTCTCCATCCAGCTCTGTTCTGGGCAGTCCTTTTCATATCTGCTCCCAATTGCCGACACGATGTGTTCCGTGGTCATCCTCTTTTCCGTTTCCCTTCAGGGTTCCAAGTTATCGCTCGCCTTGTGATGCAGTTTGATTATTTCCACTATGTATTGTCCTATCCACTTGATGAGTCGTTTCCTTTTTGGCTTTTCTGCCTACGCTCCCACTGACTGCAGCTCGGGTGAAGTGAAGGATGAATTTTACAGAAAGCTGTCTGAACTTCTTCAGAAAACTAAACGTTCAGACATAGTACTCGTAGCAGGTGACTGACTGGTCATAATCACTGATTTCCCCAATATGTAAGAGGTCAAAATCATCCTGTGATAACCATAGAGGGATTAGTTTAACTAATATAGCATCTAAAACAATAGCCTCGATAATTATCGGACGCCTAAGACTCGTGAACTGCAAATACGAGAAAATCAGTTTGGCTTCAGACCTGGTCGTGGCTACATCGACCACATATTCACTATTCGTCAGGTTTTAGAACACAGGTATGCTTATCGGGGTTCGACAATGGTGGTCTTTCTTGACTTAAAAGCAACATTTGACTCTGTAGACAGAGAAGTTCTGTGGCTGTGTCTGTCACCTATGGAAAAGGCGAGATGTCAGTCTATCAATGAAAGAACGGGTATACCTCGCGGCAGTTCGTTCTGTTTTACTTCACGGCTGCGAAACGTGCCCATTAAGAGTTGAAGATATCCGTACGTTGCTAGTATTTGAACACAGGTGCCTTAGAAATATTGCTGGGATCACCGGGTGAGTAATATTGAGGTTAGACCCAGGGTATTAGAGAATGATGGTAAATCAGTTAATGAGGTTGTGAATCTTCATGGACTGAGATGGTTGGGCCACGTGTAGTGTACGCCTGAACACCGATTACCACGACGTGCAATCCTAACCGGTGTTGGAGATGGTTTGAAGAAAGTAAGAGGTGGCCAAACCAAAACGTGGCATCAGTGCTTGAAGTCACTAACTTCTGGTCTGAGCCGTGTTGGTAGATGCAGACTACTTGGTTGGGGTCCGCGTGACTCGTAACCAATGGTTAGAGATGCTAAATGACATGGCTTAGAATCGATCACAATGGCGTCGGTGTATACACTCCCTGTCTTCCCTTAAACTATGAGATTAAAATCGCTTCATATCTTTCTTTCTACGTACTAAATCTTTGTTCCTCTAATATACCTTTATATGCATTCTTTGTTTAATATATTACCATCATTGACTTAACTACTTCTATGAATCCAATGTTCATCTTGCTGTGCTAATGCGGTATGGCAACTTGGACCGATGGATATATGTACCTGGTCTTACGTTGTAGCTGACTGACTGAAGTCATAAAAGTGTGAGATGTGTTCGGTTCGGATGCATAATCTGTATAACCCTCAGTTTCAAGATATTTGTCTAAAGCATATCTACTGTTGCAAAGTGAAACTTTCGTAACCGACTGATTGGAATTACGGAGGACAAAATTATTAAAACATTAAGCTCAAAATAAAAAAATTTGATGTTTACAAATGCGTCAGTTAAAGAATAATTTTCAGAAATGTGATATAACATGAGAAAACATACCTTTTGTAATGTACTCGGCAGAGCAAAAATCAAGATTAAGAGATTTATACAATTAAGAAGCAAACACGTAGAACCCAGCATACAGCTCAAGTATTCAGTTGATGTATGTACTTTCCACTGGTTAAGTAAAATAACTGAGCATGGTGGTCCTACAGTGAATCCGATACCATAAGCCAGGCCAACAATCGCCATTCCTTTAGTACGCAACGTATCACTGCTGATATCGCCAACAAGTGCTGATACAACACCGACATTTGCTCGTGCAGCACCACATAATACACGATACATCAGTAGCCACAGAAATGACTTACCCAACGCTGACCAGAGAACATTAACAATTATAAGCGATACCTGTTGAATGGAAAAAATGTAGCAAATAAATAGTCATTATGTAAAACTAATTACATCGTACTTCAACACAACCAAAATAGAAGGGAATCACAATGAATGCTATCCAGTGTTATGCACCCACCGATGGTAGCAACGACGACAATAAAGACCAGTTTTATGAGAGGCTACAATCGATCATAGAGCTGTCAGTAAAGGACCTGACAATCGTGATGGAAGATCTAAACACCAAAGTTGGAATGAACAACAACGGTTATGAAGATATCATGGGACGACATGGATTAGGAGAAAGGAACGAAAATGGTGAGAGATTTGCAAATCTATATGCCCTCAACAAAATGATTATAGGTGGTGCAATACTCCCCCATAAATTCATACACAAATCGGAGGAATAAATCAGGGAGAAGCGCTGGAAGTGGATAGGAAACATATTGAGGAAAGCACTGAACTGCGTCACAAGACAAGCCCTCCCTTGAAATCCTCAACGCCAAATGAGGAGGGGAAGACCAAAGTACACATTACGCCGAGAAATGGAGACAGACATGAGAAGAATGAACAACAATTTGGTAGAACTAGGAAGGAAGGCCCAGGTCAGAGTGAGTTGGAGAATGCTAGTCGATGGCCTATGCTCCATTGGGAGTAACAGGCGTAAGTAAGTAAGCCTCAAGTGGATAGAAAATACACTGTGAAGACCAAACTGCATCACTCAAGATCTGAGGGCGAAGTCGTACTGCTGACTGTAGAGAGGTGTGACGGCAGTAACGTGTTTCCCTCGGACAACCAGCATGACAGCGATGCTGCCTTCCCACAAGGAGGGGTGGGGTTAGAAAAGGTCGACCCTAAAAATGTCACACCTCACCTTACCTCACAGATTTCCGTCTCCGGCGGTAAGGCCCTTTGAAGAACGGAGCTAACACGTCAAAAACCTTCCACAAAAAGACCGTGCGCGACCGGTCTCAAGCAGTTATCCCTTGGGCTCTGCGGTCACGCTCCCAGGTCGTCAAGACCAACTCTAATCCGACTTCTATTTCAGGTTCCTCAAGAAATACCCTGCCATGGTGTGGGCAGCCGGGAAGTGATATCAGCCCTCATACCCGTAACAGCGCACGAGACCAAGTTGGTCACATTCAAATCCTTCCTACACCTCCTAATAACTCTTATCTCTACTACTAACCCTCCTCATGTCTCTTTATCACCTCGCACCGCTAGGGCAAACGACTCGAGTACGCGGAACGCTATTCCTGGTCTCCTGAAACCACGCTCTAAACTACACGTAGGAGCTTTCGACGTCCGAACACTGTGCCAAATAGGACAGCAGGCTTCCTTAGCTAAGACTTTCGAATCCCGCGCCATCGATGTGTGCTGCGTCTCCGAAACGCGCATACAGGATCCGAGTAGCGTCATTCAGCTGACCTCACTATGTCAACATAAAGAACCAACTCGATTCACACTTCGTGTATCTGGAAGCCCAGATTCTGCTTCCCGTGGCCTCGCCGGCGTAGGTATAGCATTGAGTCCTAGGGTAAAATTAGCTCTCTTAGAGTGGATCCCAGTAGACAGTCGTTTGTGCGCTATCCGACTAAACGGAACAGTAAGGATCCGAAAAGATAGGGACACTCGTCGTTGCCTCTTCGTCGTCTCTGCCTATTCTCCCACTGACTGCAGCGCAGATGATGTCAAAGATGAGTTTTACAGAAAGCTCTCCAACCTCCTAAAAGCTAGGCGCTTGGATGTAGTAATAATGGCCGGTGATATTAATGCTCAAGTAGGTAAACTAAGCGATAGGGAAAGACACCCAGGTGGGTCTTATAGCATCGTGGCTCAAAGAACAGATAACGGCGACCGTCTGTTGCAGCTATGCTCAGATAACCGACTATTCCTTGCAAATACTTACTTTAAGCATAAGGAAAAACATCTTTTAACATAGCGACCCCTTAATTCGTCCCGACGTTGGAACCAAATACATCACATCGCTATCAGCCACCGATGGAGGGGTTCGATAGAAGACTGTCGCTCATTCTGGAGCACACGCTTAGATTCAGATCATGCTCTAGCACGAGCGCGTATCTGTCTGGGTCTTACTGGACGTAGGAAAGACGCTGCAAGGAAACCTCTTAGGGGCCTACTTAATGATAGCCAAGCTGAGAGTATATTTCAGGAACAACTAGGAAAACAGTTAGGCAGCCATGTATGTGATGCCCACCCCGAGGCAGCATGAAATGATATCCGAAAAGCTGTGGAAACAGCAGTGATATCTGCTAGTAAGGTAAACCACAAGGTTAGGGAGAAACACTGGATCTCAGCAGCATCTATCGCACTGATAGATGCTCGGGAGCTCATTCCAACTGGCTCTGAACTTAATGAAGAGCGGAGTCAGCTTAAGCGCAAGCTGACAAGAAGTCTACGCAATGATCGTGAACAGTGGTGGGTAGCGAAAGCAAGAGAGATGGAAAAGGCAGCGGCAATAGGTAATAGCAGACAATTGTTCAGACTTGTTAAGGAAACCGGTATTAGGAACCCGACTGTTAGCGAAATACTCCCAGAGAAAGAGACATTATACATTCTCAATCCAGGAGATTGGATCGATGGGCAGAACACTTTATAGATCATTTCAACTGGCCTTCAGCCACACTTCGGTTTCCCACGATCTCCAGTCAACCTGAATGGCAAGTTAATGTAGGTCCTCCGTCTCTTTACGAAGTTGAAAAAGCCATAGGAAATCTGAAACGAGAGAGAGCAGCAGGCCCTGACAGGTTTACTCCTGAGATTTTTAAGGATGGTGGTCCAGTATTAGCAGTGAGATTAACTGAGGTCTTAGGTAGGATTCGGGAACTGGACATAATCCCATCTGACTGGTCTCAATCACTGATTGTGCCAGTTTATAAGAAAGGACAAAAGTCCTCTTGTGACAATCACAGAGGAATCAGTTTGAAAAACATAGTGTCGAAAACATTAGCTTCAACAATACTTCGACGCCTAACTAAAGCTCCTGAAGAGCAGACTAGAGAAAACCAGGCTGATTTTCGACCTGGACGTGGTTGTATAGACCACATATTCACACTACGTCAGGTTCTAGAACACAGATACACATTCAGACGCCCCACAATGGTAGTATTTCTCGACCTTAAGGCGGCATTCGACTCTGTTGATCGTAAGGTTCTATGGCAGTGGTTGTCACTGAAAAGAGTACCAAAGAAGTACATTAACCTTGTAAAGGCTCTCTACTCGAACACAACTGGTCGAGTGAGAGCTTATGGCGAACTGTCATCAGAATTGATTACCTCAAGTTGTGTTCGTCAGGGCTGTCTACTCTCTCTATTCTTGTTCAACTTTGTCGTCGACGTACTTTTAGAGATAACACTCTCCTCATCTAAATTTACAGGGGTTGAACTTCTACCAGGAGATTCACTTGTTGACTTGGAATATGCTGATGACATAGTTCTATTTGGTGAAGACGCTGACAAAATGCAGAGTCTTCTGACCACTCTAAGCAACAATGCAAGCATGTTCGGCATGAGATTCTCTCCCTCGAAATGCAAAATGATGCTTCAGGATTCGGTTGCATCGACACCCGAACTAGTGATAGGGAGTGAAGTAGTTGAGTGTGTCGACCGCTTAACTTATCTGGAAAGTCTCATCAGCCCTTGTGGTTTGGTGTGTGACGAAATCTCAGCACGGATACAGAAGGCTCGACTAGCTTTTACCAACTTCCGTCATTTATGGTGTAGGCAAAATATCCGTCTATCAACCAAAGGAAAGGCGTACTGCGCAGCAGTTCGTTCCGTTCTACTTTATAGCTGTGAAACATGGCCGGTAAGAGTAGAGGATATTCGTATGTTACTAGTATTCGATCATAGGTGTCTTCGAAACATTGCTCGTATATCCTGGGTCCATCGAGTAAGTAACACAGTTGTTAGGAAACGGGTACTAGGTAAGGATGGCAAATCAATTGATGACGTAGTGAAACTTCATCAGTTGAGATGGCTGGGACACGTGTTACGTATGCCCAACTACCGACTGCCTCGACGTGCGATGCTCAGTGGTATAGGAGTAGGTTAGAAGAAATCTAGGGACGGCCAGATCAAAACATGGCACAAGTCCATGAAGTCAATGACAAGTGTACTGAGTCATGTTGGTAGGTGTAGACTACCTGGTTGGGGACCGCGAGATGATAGCAACCGATGGTTAGAGACCCTGAATGACATGGCTCAAAATCGTTTGCAATGGCGCAGGTGCATCCACTCTCTGTGCTCTCCCAAATTTTGATCTCCTTATTCCTCCTTGTGTTTTTATTTCTCTTCCCAAATTTATTTCACTGTATTATACTCTTTAAATAACATCTCCAAACACTAATTTTCCCGATTACTGCTTATACTCTTATTACCTCTACCACTACGGGATTTGAATCGACCACTGCATCTCTGTGCTAATGTGGTGTGGCAACTCGAACTGACGTACGTACGAACGAAGTTCTACGTTGTTACTGACTGACTGACTGCATCACGAAGCGAGTGCCAATTCGGGATCCTGAAAGGAACAAGAATAAAGGAAGACCAAAGAACAGATTGTGTCGGTAATTGGAAGCAGATATTAAAAGAATTGCACAGGAAAGAGTTGCATGGAAAATGCTGGTGGCAGCCAATTTTCCTCTACGAAGGATTACAGGTGTAAGGAAGTAAGCATGTAAGGAATGTAAGTGTGATTGGCCGCTGAGTGTGGACAGACAGGCGTGCATCCTAATGATTATTAAATATTTGATTTTCTTCCCTCTTATTAATTTATAATCCGGACTAACCGAGAGTAACAGCATTCAATTTTGTAGAATAAAGTATTGTCTAGTGTTAATCTGGCTCTTTGCTCTTGGTCGTGAGTCGGGTAACTGGTGTAACGTGATCTAGCGGGTCGTTCGATTATTCAATCTAGTGGTATTGTGAACTCGGTAACTCAGATCAGTTTTATTACCGTGTTACCGTAGTATACTGAAGAAAGAGAAATATTTTAATTCATTCGTCATTTCACTATTGCACTTCAGCCATAATTAAAAGAATAGCCTTGAAGAGTTTGCGTTAAGAAAAGCCAGTAAGTCAATGTAATTTACTTTACATTCACAACTTAATAGCAGTATTAAAGCACAATTAATCAGAAATTGTTCCCACTTTTCTACGATTGGAATCTTAATTGCATTGATTTAGTTTGCCTTTAAATTATAAAATCATCCTTATCAACTAAAACATCTACGGATTTCTCTACCTACTCTACAATAGTAGTTATTTCCAATTGCACGCCAACTATATTCTGCTCAAGTTAGTTTAAAAAGATATGCTGATGCATCATAAACTGTGTTACTTTTCCACATTATACGCAAGTTGCACAACTGTTACTGACGTTTTCTAAAACGATGTCTTTATGCTACTCAGGAAAATTATAGATGAAAACAACCAAGTCATATATATGTATATATATCACCACAAACCTGAAGGACAACTAAGACCGATTTTCTGCCAAAATAGTCTGATAAAGCTCCGGCTACAGGCGACGATACAAATTGCACCAAAGATGATAATGACGACAGAAGGCCTAAAATGAAAATATTGCTGCTAAACTGAGAAGCATACCGCCAATGAATACTCTGTCCCATGTAGAACCTTCTTGAAATCCCAAAACAAAACCCAGGTATTGGATATATTTTTTGGACAAAGTATAAAACCATTCCTTTTGTAATATACAAATAATGCAACTTACTTTTTCAGACTCGTATGTTTCTAAAAGAGAAGGCATCCATGGTAGAATCATACTCACAGTTACGACGTCGAGGAAGAGGAAAACAAAAATAACGAGCATGTTTTTCGAAATAGTCATCTTCAAAATAGTTGGAAACGCCAACTTACATGTACCTAATATTATTTGAAAATTAATTAACAATATTTCATAATGTTGGGTTTGGGAAAATTAGGTCAGTTTTGTACCAACAAAAGCACCATGTAGCAGAACATAGAGCATGAAAGATAAGAAGCAATTTATTGTATCACAAGAAAATGAAATTGATCTAAAAAAGCCATTGTAGCATGCAATGTAATACAGAAACTAATTCCAAGCGGTTAAGAATTTATCATTACTGTTAAACTTGGCAGCACATATGTCGAAGAAAAATAAGAAACTACATAAGTGATAATGGCGTTAATCACTTAAGCATGTGTTTTCATCTATCTGTAGCCCAGGGTATATCATCAAAGGACCGGAATAACACCATAATAAGTCCTGTCTTCAAAAAACACGTGAGAACAATCAGCCCGTAAGCCTAACCAGCGTGGGTGTTAAGGTTCATGAAAAGGTCATTCGGAAAAACTTAAACAAGTATCCAGACGAAAACTGATCATTTCTGAAAGCAGTGTGGTTTTAAAACAAGTTATTTATGCTTCATGAAATTATTAGTAGCTCGAGAAAGCTGATGTTCTCTTACAGATAAAAAGTTAACTATGCATGTGGCTTTCATCGACCTCAGTGAGGCCCTTGACAAAGTTCCAGATAACATGCTGTTGTCTAAGTCGTGATATCGAGACTGAAGGTAAACCGCTTATGTGGATAAACGATTTTCAGGTTAGGCGTCAACTAAAGTGTATAGGTTGACTCTAAGCTGTCTAGCTGCAAAATTGTGTTTAGTGGAGTGCCCCAAAGTACAGCTTTGGGGCCAGTGTTATTCCTCTTATATGCAAACAAACTACTTTATCGCCTATCATCGTCGGTTTCCTTATATGCCGACGATATCAAGGTATGGAGAAAGATGGAAAGTATAGGTGGTACTTCGGAGCTTCAAAATGACCTGCAGAAAGTATCTGAATGGTCTAGAATTTGACCGCTACCAATAAGTGCTTCAAAATGTACTACGTTGTATATTGATCACCAAGGTAAGGACATATAAACGGTGAATGATATCTACCTGTTGTTCAAACACACACTGATTTAAGAGTCATTATCAGTCAAGTCGCGAAAACTGCCAAAAATTTCAGAATCCTCTAGTCGATAAGTAGAACCTTTGGCTACGTATATGATAGAACCTTCGACTTTACAAATAGTATGCGTTCGTCCTAAATTGTATGCGAGCAGTCAGCTCAAGTCTGAAAAAGACAATAGGTAGTTGAAAAACACTCAAAGAACCACAAACAATTTGATTCTCGGAATCGCAGAGCTACCTTATGGCGAGAAAGTAGCTAAACTAAACCTATTCCGCTTGTCATATAGGAAGGCTAGATGTGACTTGGCTACAATTCTCAAACTGTCTAATAATAATTTCGCATCTCATAGGGTCTCATTTTGATTGGCTCTCGAAACAGAAGATTTATGACGAGATCCCCACAAGTTCGCAAGACCATAACAAACTACATATCTATGAACGGCTGAATTCCCCAACGAATCAATAAGACTGAAATTTCTTAACTCGACAGTCGACTTAAGCTCCATTTGTCGATGTTTTAATAGAACGTTGGTTGAGCCGAGGGACCCTACTTTTAGAAGTAACGGGTGTTCTGGCCTCCCGTCCTTCTCAAAATGAAGCGGAGCACAGATGAAATATTTAAATCCTTGAACTTGCATCATTTGAAGGCTTAAAAACACCATTCTGCGCGAATCTCAGGCATGTGTATGATTAATTAGTCCACACGAAAAATAACAGTATATGGTTGTATTGTGCCTCATTCTAGCGACTAAAAAAGATTCTCATATGAACATTTTCAAACTATCTGGAAATCTGAACGGTCCGAATCATATGTTTCTGACGCCATAAAAGCATCTTTCAAGAAGCCATATCCAGTTCATAAACCTATGAAGTCATGTATGCGATACATCAAGCCAGATAATACTTGAAGATACAAACTCATCCACATTGCCAGCGTATGTGACTTGTAAGCTATCCAAAAACGACAGTTAGGTAATATTGTAGGCTTAAAATATTTCACTAATTCGGTCTTTATACGCCTAATCATATCTTATCCCATGATTAGAGTTTCTGCAGATACACCAACAGAAAACCGACCAATCTCACTATCTTTGGAAAATTTTGAGGAACTTTGAGTAAGTTTTGGGGTTTCTCTGTAGTCTTCAGAAATGTGGTAGTTTCTCCGAAGTTTGGGGGAATTTTAGGAAAAAACCCTGGAGTGTCATAAGAAATTGGGGAAATTTTGAGGTTTCGTGTTAGTCCCCCAAAGTTTTCTGTAGCGGTCTCCTCACAATTTACTCAAACAGGACATATTCCCTAAAATAGTGAGATATCTCCCAATATTGGGTGAGAATGGTTGAAGACTGAACCGTGTAACCCATAATTGGGTACCAGCTTCACTTGTGAAGGGTTATTCGCAGAAACAAGATCTCAACAAAAACACAAACTGAAAAGCCACTACAGACCAGCAGACACTTATGAACAAGATTTTAAATAACTTACAGCTACCCGGCCTTGAGACGTGCTGACCTTGATAACTTTATCTTTTAAACTTTGTTTGGTTGAATTATACAACTATTAGTTCCTGAAGTGAACTGACAGCCTCTTGTTGAATGATTGAATAAGATTTACCGCTTTTCAATTCTTGTAAGAGGTTCTATCTGCACCGACACCTAATTATCGCACTGTATCATTTGTGCCAATTAATAATTCCCTTGTAACTGTTTCCGTGTCTTGTTTAAAATTCTAAAATACAATAACTCAAAGTGTTGGCACTGATTTATCTCTACCTTAAATATCGGTCCATTTGTGACTCTTGAAGTACGAAGTGAACGCTTCCACGATTTCCCAGCTCGTATGCCAAATTCAAATATTTCCAATAATCATTCATGTCCTTTCAAATGCTTCTGTACTGTCTTTTTCAGAAATAAGAGCCTCTTAGTGAGGTGAGTAGGTTAGGAGCTGTATCTCTTGTGTGGTTAGGTGTAATACTGTAGGAGGTCTTCATTAAACAATGAAAACAGTTTTTAGTAGTTCGAGTCGACTTATCTGATTGTAGCGGTAAATAAATCCCCAAAATAAATATCTCTCTAAGTTTTCGACATTGGATGCTGACCATATGTTTTAGTGGACTCATCTAGCTGAAGGCGCTCGGTCATGCATCCGCACCAGATCACGTGTGGTAACGCCGTGCTCAGCATCAACCGCAATCGCTAGCCAGATTAGATCAGAAAATTCCGATGTATTGGTCATCGCCAAATATACTCTTCCGATCTCCTCGACTCTGTCTTTTGATTTCTCCAGGTGGGGAACGAAATATATTAGAAGGTGTTACTAATAGAGGCGTTGTCAAACACTGAATACCTGTGCCAATCTTCATTGGTGAGACTGACGTGATCTGGTACACCTAATTGCAACTGTGAGTCTGTTTCTTTTTTGGGTTTTTATATATCATTGCCTTGTTTTTTTTTAAACATTGTGACTTTTTTTCGTGTATTTTTCATGGATATATATATATTTCCCCCTCGTTCATTATCGTATTTCATATATCATCATGACTGAACAGACACCCAAAGTACTCAAGCTTAAGACTTTGTCCCCGCCTTCGTTTCAACTGATGCCTTTCGGGCCCGACAACATCGAAGCCTGGTTTTGCTACGCAGAAGCCGACTTCTCCGAGCACGGCGTGTTCGACACACGTGCACAATTCCTCGCAGTAGTCAAGGCACTACCGCGAGAATTCAACAGGTACGTAACACCTAGTATGTTTACTAGTGATGTTTCCGATCCTTACGAAATCTTAAAACGCTCGATTCTTAAACGAGGAGACCTAACTCTTCAATAACATCGACCTGCAACACGGTTTTGCGACGGACATGTTGCAAAGAATGGGAGAGGTTATAGGCTCAAGAACTTTCGACGAAGGTCTATTCAAACAACTCTTCTTATCAAAACTTCCCCAACAGGTGCAAGCAGTTCTGGTCTCGTTCCAGAACAACGCCTTAGACGAGCTAGCTGCATCTGCCGACCGCATTTTAGAAATTACGAAACCTTCTACTACCGAGGTATTTTCAGTCAAAGAAAAGCCTCAAACGACTCAGAATGATATAACCGAGTTATGTCACACACTCACGCGTTATCTTAGTCTTCGTACCGACCGTAAGAGATCGCGCACACCACGTAGAAGCATTTCTCGTAAGCGATCTGTCTCTAGACCACGAGAGAAAGATAACCCCGACTGGTGCTGGTATCATAACCAGTATGGAAAGCTTTCCAGAAATTGCAGAAAACCCTGAAATTTTCCCAACACGAAACCGAGTGACTCGAAAAACAACTCGGGAAACTTCCAAGCCGGCACGCGTTAACGGCAACCGTAGCCGGCGAACATAGCCGTCTGTTATACGTCACAGATGTGACAACGAGAGTTCGCTACCTCGGCGACACTGGCGCAGAAGTTAGCGTTCTCCCAGCGAATTCCAACGACAGACTTCACGAATCGACTCTAAACTTACAGGCGGCAAACGGAAAACCGATCGTTACTTATGGCAAAAGGTACGTTTACCTTAACGTGGGTTTACGCAAACCCATTCACTGGATTTACGTTGTTGCAGATGTTTCTATGCCAATCATTGGTATGGACCTTCTACAACACCATAATCTGATCATCGACACTCGCAAACGGAGGCTAGTAGACGGAAACACTAATTTATCCGTTTGCGTAACTTCCTTCTCTGGTTGTAGATTATCCCCAGTCACAGTTAAACATATAATAGACCCACTCTATCAACCACTACTCGATAAGTACCCTGGGATACAACAAACTCAACCGAAACTACCGTGTGTAACCAGGAATGTTACACATCACATCACGACTACAGGACCACCTGTATTTTCTAAAGCACGACGACTAGCTCCCGAAAAGCTAAGG